TTTTTTTTACCGACCTCAAAAAAAGTTATCGTGCGATTAATTGATTTATTGACTATCGCGACAGGCCTACAAACAAACAAACAAACAAACAAATAAATAAATATACATATATCCACCCCTGTGGGTAAAATCAAACCACTTAGGTCAAAACTTAAATGTCAGTTTGTTTCTTAGCTGGAATTGATGTCACAGCTGCAGAGTTCCAGTGGAGATGGAATTGATCCAAATATGCAAATTAGGTGATGATCCTAATTTGCATATTTGCATCAAATCCATCTCCATTGCTCAGATTGTGTTCATCTCAGACCGTTTTAACTGTCGTCCTGAACAGATCGTTTTTTTGAGAACGAGTAATTGTTAGAGAATTTATTAAAATGTCTTTCTCAAGACACCCAAATCAGAGAAGAGGTTGGAACCAGGGCTCGCTTTACCAGGAGAACGAGCATTTGAAAGCCTTGCTCAGTGATGAACGGGCGAAATGGTTTCATGAACATACCATGGCTGCCGAGCTGAGACAGGAACTGGTAAACACTAACGCCCAACTGGAAAAACAGAAGTCTCTGAAAGAAGTCTTTATCAAGAAGGAGAAAGAGGTTCGGCAAGAACTGGAGAGAATTCAAAGGTACAGTGAAGCAGATACTCTGAGAACTGCCAGCATCGCTTCCCATGTGCAAGTGGCTTTAAAACATAAGAAGAAAAAGGTTCTTCAACAGGAATACGAAGAACTGAAAGTGTCCTACGTTGTCAGCCAGGAGAAACTTTCATCTGAGCTCCAACTGGAAAAAGAAAAAACTCTGGAGCTCCAGAAATACCTGGATGAGGCCAAAAACTTGAATGACCAACTGAGCTTGGAGGTTGCCTCGCTTAGTCAAGAGTCTTTGAAGTTCCAAGAAGAATCTGAGGAGAACCGGCGTCTGTTAGAGGCAGAAAAAAACAAGTCGGTTCTTTTACAACAAAACATGTCAGAGCAAATCGAGGCTTTGACGAAAAACGCTCCTGAAAACGAGATAAAAATGATGGAAGAGCTCCAACAAATGAAGACGGCGTACCAGGATCTTAAAGTCAGCAAAGACTCCCATATTCTGGCTTACAAGGTGTTGTCAGAAGCATTTTTACAAGAGCTCAAGGCGTCTTTGCAGGAAAACAAGAAAGAGCTGGAGACAATGAACAACCTCCAGTCAAAAAACAAGACCCTGCAAGAGACGGTGGCTCAGATGATCCAAGAGCTGCAAAATATAAAAACTGAGAACCAGAATGAGAGTGAAAAGATGGAAACAGCTTGCCAGCAACTTAAAGCCAGCCACGCTATAGAAGTCCAGACTCACAAAACCCTGTCTGAAACATATTTACAAGACCTCAACAAACAAATTAAAGCTTCTTTTCAGAGCGAGAAGCAATACCTGGAGAAAACCAACGTCCTCCAGGCAGAAAACAAGACTCTGCAGGACATTGTGGCCCAGAAGACCCAGGAGTTGTCGGACAAACAGAAGGAGTTGGAACAGATGGAGTCATCTCAGAGTCGCCTGAAAGCCAGACTGAAGGTGGAGGTCCCGTCAGAAGCTTTGTTTCTCAGCCCAAACATCCCAGCTGACGAAGCCCCCCTGAAGGTCTCTGATGGTGAGACCACAACTCCAGAGAAAAAAAAATCCTTGTGGAAAAGAACCCGACACCGCCTTGGCCTGACGAAGCCCAAGTGTTGGAAAAAGTAAAACATTTCCAACAACAAACGCACCCACACTCACACACAAAACACTACAACATAAACCAGTGATTAGTTTATTTTCTTTCTTTCAAATTTTATTTTATTTTAAAAAAAGGGGCAACACAGTGGATCAGTCCTCTTCTCAAAAACATTAAAAACACATTTTTTTGTGTCTTTGAGGACAACAGACTGTCCCTGTGCTGCGTGGGTTTTCTCTGGGTACTCCAGTTTTCCCCCACATAGTTTAAATTTTAATTGTTTCACTGGTCATTCAACACACACAAAACATTTCACACATTACAACATAAACCAGTGATTAGTTTATTTTATTTCTTTTTTTAGATAATGTGATTTTGTTTTTAAAAAAAAGGGGCAACACAGTGGATCAGTCCTCTTCTCAAAAACATTAAAAACACATTTTTTTGTGTCTTTGAGGACAACAGACTGTCTCTGTGCTGCGTGGGTTTTCTCTGGGTACTCCAGTTTCCCCCCACATAGTTTAAATTTTAATTGTTTCACTGGTCATTCAACACACACAAAACATTTCACACATTACAACATAAACCAGTGATTAGTTTATTTCTTTTTTTTAGCTAATGTAATTTTATTTAAAAAAAAGGGGCAACACAGTGGATCAGTC